TCAAAGTAATCAATTGCTAGCACTGACCCTCTGTTAGGCTGAAAAAAAAATACATTCCTTGTTGAAGCTTTTCATTTTGTATTCATCAGGACAGTTCATAAGCACTCAAGGGGGAAAACAAAATTTATGAGAGGCAAGTGGTGATTGATTTAAAAATGGACTCTGATTTATGAAGACCCTACCATATAAATTACACCCATTGACAGAAATTACCAGACTGGCTTTGTTTCAAGTTTAAATTTTAAACCAGGCAGGTTAATTCTGATAAGGTAATACGTAGTTAAAAAAGCTGATAGTGATGGAATAAAGATGGAAGTCAGGAAGGTAAACAAGAAAATAAACATTGACAAAAAGATATTGCGACAGAGGCAAATATTTCGACCAATAATCAATTCAGGAGAAATTATCTTCATTTAACAAAATCAAGGCTATCAAGTCATTTAAAACGGAAAAGGGGGAAATAATTCATAAACTAATCAAACTCAGAAAGGATAGAAGCCCTGGTCTGGATGCATTGCATCTGCATATTGAAAGAAGTTGGAGAGTTCAGAAAAATAAGAGGCAATCCTAATGAAACATACAAGACTTGTAGACAGGTTAGATGCAGAGAGATAGTAAGAACTGCTGATGCTGGAGTCTGAGATAACACATGTGGAGCTGGAGGTACACAGCAGGCCAGGCAGCATCAGAGGAGCAGGAAAGCTGACGTTTCGGGTCGGGACCCTTCTTCATAAATGGGGGAGGGAAAGGGGACTCTGAAATAAATGAGGTGGGGGTCAGGCTGGGGAAGGTAGGTGGGAAGGTGATAGGTGAGTGCAGTTAGGCAATGGTGGGGATTGGTCAGTGAGGTGGGAGGAGCGGATAGGTGGGAGAGAAGACTGACAGGTCAAGGAGGCGGGGATGAGAGGGAGGGTTGGTGATGGGATGAGGGGGGAGGTGTAGCACCTCCTGCGGTTGCAGGGAAAGGTGCCGGGGGTGGTGGGGCTAGTGGGGAGTGGGGAGTGTGGAGCCCCCTCACCTCCATCCCATGCCCCAAAAAAAACTTCCACATCAAACAGATGTTCACCTGCACATCCGCTAATGTGGTGTATTGCATCCTTCCCCAGCCCTTCTTATCCCCGCCTCCTTGACCTGACCGTCTTCTCTCCCACTTATCCGCTCCTCCCACCTCACTGACCACTCCCCACCACTGCCTAACTGCACTCACTTATCACCATCTCACCTACCTTCCCCAGCCCCACCTCCCCTCTCTCTATTTATTTCAGAGCTCCCTTCCCCCCACCCTCCTCCAATTTCTGAAGAAGGGTCCTGACCCGAAACGTCAGCTTTCCTGCTCCTCTGATACTGCCTGGCCTGCTGTGTTATCTTAGATGCAAAGAGTCTAGCTCCACAGGGCATAACCTCAGAATGAGGGGTCACCCATTTAAGACAGAGATGAGAAATTTCTTTCGTAAGAGAGTAGGGAATCTGTAGAATTCTTCACTACAGTGGGCTGTTGAGGCTGGGTAATAAAGTATATTTAAGACTGAGGTAGACAGATTTTTAATCAGTAAGGGAGTTAAGGTTTATGGGGAAAAGGAAGGAAAGTACAGTTGAGGGTTATCAGATCAGCCATAAACCTATTGAATGGCAGAAGTGGCTAATGAAAATGGCCTATTTCTCCTATGTCTTATGTAAGAGCAAAGAAACTTACTACCCAAGGCTGCAAAACATCAGGGATGATCAGTCTGCTACTCCAAATCCGTGTGGATCCACTTACTCTGCTTCTTCAATCTAAAGAATTGCTTCAGGATGGGTACAGATCTCTCACCTGTCATGGGTCATACATTTCCTTTCTTTGTCTAAGTGAATAGCGTATCATCAAAACCATTGCTTCTTAACAAACTTAATATACTTTCTGAAAATTGCTTACAAATGGTTGACTGCCTTTATTAGGTACCTGTGATCATCAACCCCCAAAACCTAACACAATTGTCAGAACTGGATCTCATTCTCAAGAAGTGACAACAGCAGAGCTCAGTACAATGGCTGCAGCATTATTTCACCTCTTTGTATTCCTGTGGCCTGAGAGAAGGTAAGGACTTCAGTTTTATGTGTGTCCACCTACACTTAGAGATTTCAAGAGGAAAACATTCAAAAATAGAAAATTTCTGTGAAGCTGGTACAGAATTTTGGTTGGATGGGGGGAGAATGGAATAAAACATTTACATTGGCTGAGATGAAATAAAGAACAGCAGGAGGTCCTGGGAAAACTAAGCAGCAGGAGGGTGTCAGCTGAATCGCCTATTTCCATGAAATGGAATTCCACAAGGATCGATGTTTGGGCTTGTACACTTAATTTTTATCTGTGATCTCAGTGAGGGAATCAGGGACATGTCTGCAGGTTCATGGAGTTCATGCAAGCATATATGTGGATTCAAGAACCTTCAGTGAGGAAAGCAGATTCCAGGCAGATCTGGGTGTATAAGGGAATTCACCTCCGTCTGACAGCCATGCAGTTCAATGTAATTGTATGTAAGTGTGAGTAACAAGTGGAAAAAGATGTAGGAAGGTAGGATATCAGCCACTGTTCCTGAGGGTCTTTCTGTATCTGCCTCTGTTGGAGGTTGACAATTGGTTATACAACTTTTCAAATACCATTTCAAATCAAGAATTGGGCAGCTGAGGAAGAATGCCCATGTCTCCCTCAGCCAGAATGGAATTGAACTCACGCTGTTACCATTATTCTGATGCCTTCTGTAGCTTTCTAGCTAACAGGGGACACCAACACCCATGATATGAGTATGATAATTCTTAAATCATTGACAATCCATGACATGAGGTTATTGAGAAAGCAAATAGAATGTTCTCATGTACTGCAAATTAGAAAACATGAAGGGCCAATGCTGTCTCTGTGCAAAGTATTTTTGGGCTTCATCCAGAATACTGTGTCCAGTTTTGGTTCCTCTTCCCCTTCACAGTAAATGTTTTCAAAATCCCTGCCAAAGATTCTGGAAAGGGTTAGATACTGGTTTTAATGGTTCTTAAATGGGCTTAAAGGACTGGGACTTCTGTAAAAATATAGATAGGTTCAGGAGGATCAGAAAACAAGAGAATACATTCCACAAGCAAAGAAGAATGTTAGATGTTAGAAGATATTTCACTGTGCTGTTTGTTGATGATTGGCTCATGCAGTTAGTGCAGATTCCTGCAATCATTCAAGAGGCGGCTGGAGATGTTCATGTTTTGGGAATTGAGGGTGTATTTCTTGTTCACTGTGATCTCCCGGAGCTCCTTCGGTTTCCTTCAGGATCAGGAAGGAATTTCCCAGAATGTTTTCCTAAATTACCAACACCAACATCAACATCACTAACATCAACTTTGGCATCACAGATATCAACACTGACACGAGCATTATTATCACTGACAACACCACACACACACACACACCAAAATCATCTTCAAAATGTTCAATATAAATTCATTATCATTTGACCACATCCATTTCAACACTTGGCCATAATCATCTGTATAAACACAATGATACTAATAATCCCTAATATCCATTATAAACCATACAACCTCACCCATAACAAAATTTGAAAAGAGACGAAAAGGATTGGGCAACGTCACAAAGAGCTAGGAGTGAAATGCAAGATGTGGTTGAAGGGGTAAGAGGTTGAAAAGAGGAGACTGCTTCTTAGGATGGGAAAGCCTAATATGGCCTGTGTAGGAAGGAGGGGAAGTGAGGAGTGAACAAGTCAAAATGATAGAGTGCAGTGTACATAAAGATCTGGAGACCGAAGAACCAAGTGAGGAAGGAGAAAGATTCATAAATGAGGGTGTAGGTCAAATGGAAGATCAACAAGAATCCCTGCTGACCCCTATCCTAAGTAAGCCACATTTGCCCCTAAGAGACTCACGCTTGCCCTGAGTGACCCATCGCCCACTTCCTGAAATCTGTACCATTTCTATGGGGCAGAAGGATGGGGGTGTGGCTAGAGACTTGCTCACTGGTGATGTTCAGGTTCTAGAAGTGGAACTTGGATAAAGTCTTTCCTGAGATTTGGGTGGTTGAGATTGGGTGACAAAAGAATCTCAAGAGCTTGACTGATCTCATCAGTCTTCTGTGATTGCAACCTGTTCACCAGTGGTGACCAGATCCCTAGGGGTGACCAGATCACTCATGGCATCCAGTATCTGGGAAGTGGCAGAGATTGTATTACCTTTGTGTATAATGGCAGAATGTGTGGCTTCCCTGACCAACCCCTCATGAGACAGCAAAGTGGCAAAATGTATACAACTCCCAGCAGATTCATCTCAGAATGCTGACTCCACAAAACTAAATCCACTTCAACCCCAGAAACAGTAAGATCCACAAAACAGCTATAGAATACTGCAATTGCCAGTACTAGTTTCACATCCAAAATCACACACACATAAATGCGCACAAAGTTGTATGCTTGGGTCCACACATATGTTCACATAAGCATACATTTGCACTTACATACATCTATACATACACATGGACACTTATTCACCTGTGCAAGCACACAAATATGTACACCCACATGCATTTCACATATGTGCACACATTCTCATACACATGTAGAAATATGCACGCAGCAGATATTGAAAGGGTGAAGCTGGGTTACTATTGAGACTGGCTGCACACACTGGCAAATGAATGCTTGGTCTCATTTGCTGGGTATGGTTGGACAGTCACTGAAATGTTGAGCACGCTTATGGAAGCAAGGATCAACCCCAGTGATTTGCCAAATATCCCCACTCCCTGGAAATTATCTGCACTTGATGATTTTTGCTGAGAATGAGATGACTGAGCTAGGATGCTACTGGAGACTGAAGAGCAAGCTGATGGCTCAGACTGGGACACTCAGTTAGACAACCCTCTGGCAATAGGAATTTCCCCATCAGTTGGTCCCACATTAGAAGTTAGGAAAGGAGAAGTGAATGATTGTGACAATGAGAAACTCTCAGCTGTCTGAGCTCAGGCAACTTACCAACTGATGTGAAAGTGAGCTTCCAGCCTTGGTTATCCCCTGAATCATCACTGTGGAAGATAATGTGAATACTGCTGCTGTTTGTATTGATCTTTCCAGGACTCTTATCTCCACAATACGGACCAAACTCATTTATTCCAGCTTTAATCTACAACAGACAGACACCAAACACAGAGAATGAAACAAGAAATCTGAACTTGGCTGGAACCTGATTTGCAGATTCATGAGGAAAAGAATAAACAAATCAACCAATATATAAACAAAACAAATGATAATCAACAGCCCTATACTCATGTCCCATGTGATCATTTTGGTGAAATTTAACTACAACCAATTAAAATTTCACAACTTGTTCTCAACCGGATGAAATTTGTGTTCTTGGCCAGATGAGAATCCAAATGCAGCAAATCAGTCATCATGAAGAGGAGTCAGTATTGAGGGAGCTCTCACAGAAACATAAAAACTAGGAGCTGGAGTAGGCCATTAGGCCCTTTGAGCCTGCTCCGCTATTCAATATGATCATGACTGATCCTCTTTCTCAGAGTCCTCTTTTGCTGAATTCTAAATTGCTCCCAGTGCTCAGGTTTACAGCCTTTTTGGCAATTCTCTTTATCTCTTCTTTGGATCTAATACTATCCCTAATTTTCTTCATAAGCCATTGTTGAGTCACCTTTATTGTCGCACCAGATAGGAATGGATAACTATTGTAATTCATAAATAGGTGTCTTAAATATTAGCCATAGTTTATCCATTGCCTACCGTTTTAGTAATGTTCACCCATCCCTCATTGTCAACTTGTGCCTGATATTTTCATTTAACGGTTAATCTTCCTGAATGGACGCCCCACAACAGGTTGTTAATTAAACTTTTCGCATTGCACAATATCCACTCGAGGAAATCCTCCTCCACAGTTTTGTTGCTAGTTTGGTTTGTCTAATCTATATGTAAATTAAAGTCACCCATGATTACAATAACCTTACTGCATGCACCTTTAATCTCCTGAGTAACGCCTTCCCTTACGTGTCTGCTACTGATTGGGGGCCTACAGACAATTCCCAACAATGTTTACTGCTTCTTGGTGTTTTTTATCTTCACCCATACAGATTCCACAGCATGATTTTTCAAGCGAATATCATTCCAAACTATTGTACTGATTGCCTCCTTTACGAAGAGTGCTACCTGCCTCTTTTATCTATTTGCCTGACCTTCCTAAATAATGAATACTTTTGGATGTTCAGTTTGCCCCCTTGATCACCCTACAGCTATGTCTCCATAATTACAGCTAGACTATAACCATGTATATCTATTTGTGCTGTTAATTAATCAATTTTATTGCAAAGGCTCCACACATTACAACACAAATATAACACAGTGTGGAGCTGGAGGAACACAGCAGGCCAGGCAGCATCAGAGGAGCAGGAAAGCTGACGTTTAAGGTCGGGACCCTTCTTCAGAAATGGGGGAGGGGGAAGGGAACTCTGAAAAAATTTATTTCAGAATTCCCTCCCCCCTCCCCCATTTCCTCAGAACTGGGTCACTGGACCCAAACGTTAACTCTGTTTTCTCCTCCACAGATGCTGCCAGACCTGCTGAGCTTTTCCTGCAACTTTGCTTTTGTTCCTGATTTACAGCATCCACAGTTCTTTTGGTTTTTATGTGTTATCTCTGACTCCAGCATCAGCAGCTCTTACTATCTCTGACACATTAAGACACAATGTCTTTATAATCTTGTTAGTCATCTAATTTCGATTTTGCACTGTGGCCCCATTTGTTTGTTGCCATTTCTTTTTCTCTGCCTTCTACTTTTGCTTATACATTTCTGTCTTTCATTTCTATTCTCTATGTCTGTCTCCTTGATCTGGTTCCTACCCTCTTGCTGTTCCAGTTTAAACCATCGCTGACACCACTAGCAAATAGCACCCTCCACCCCTCCCCCACACCGAAGACATTGTTGGCCAAGATGCCATCCTGTTGAACTGGTTCCATCTTCCCAATAACCAGTCCCAATGTGCCAGGAATGGTCCTTTAAACCATTTCTTCAACCGTGTATTCATCTGGTATTTCTATATTTCTATTCTCACTATCATGTGGCACTGGAAGCAATCCTAAGATTACTACTTTTGAGGTCTTATTTAGTAATTTACATCTTACTCCCTATATTCCGCATGTAGGATCTCATCTGTTTTTTTACATATGTCATTTGTACTGATACATACCATGACCACTGTTTGCCCTCCTCCTTAAAAATGCCTTGCAGCCTCTCGGAGTCTTTATTGACCCTTGCACCAGAGAGGCAACTGACTATCCTGGAGTCTCTTCTGCGGCTGCAGAAACAGCTGTCCGTTCCTATTACTATTCAACACCCTATCATTTAGCTCTGACATTCTTCTTGCTCCCGTCTCACACAGCAGAGCTACCCCTGGTGCCATGGCCCTGACTGATGCTGTTATCCCTTGAAATGTTGCCTCCCCCCACAGTAAGCAAACTGTATATCTTTTGGGGGGTGGGGATGGACATGAGGGTCTCTTGCACTACCTGCCTTCCTTTATTCTGTCTGGTGGTCACCTACTCCTCCATCCCACTACTCCCCCCCCACCCCACCACCGCCTGTTCAGTTGTTACCTGCAGTATGACTACCTCACTGAACATGTTGTTCGTGATAACCACAGCGCAGCCATGATCCAGCTCCGAAATGCAGATGGTCAGTAGCTGCAATTGGACACACTTCCTTCACCCATGGTCACCAGAGACACTGAAAATGTCCATGACTTCCCATATAGTGCAGGAGGAGTATATCACAGGTATGGAAGCTATTATTGTGACTTCCCTTTAGGACAAGCATTTTAGTTACACCCTTTAGACAACAGTGATTACAGATGGGACCTTTTCCACTCCAAAAATCCTATTACAGTCCAAAGTTCCTGCCTTGTTTCAGCTAAAGGACTGCAGCAGTTTAATCAGTAGAAAAATTAGAGGTGGAAGTACTTGCTTGACCTCAATCCAGATGCTTTCTAATTTAGAGCTATTTAAAGACACACCCAAACATCACCATCTCACTAAATTCACCACTCTCCACTTGCACTGCTTTATACTGAATTCTTCCCAGTGTGCTTCACAGTGATGCTCTACTATCAGAGGATGCTACACTGTTGGAGAGTCAACACTGAAGGACCACCATACTGTCAGAGAAGATTTATTTATTCTGTGTCTCTGTTAATTCTATATTTGAGGTCATTGCTGAATGTTTCTCACGTGTATCATGTTCCATGCAATGACGCACCTTCAGGTAGTCATAGGGGCACGGCACATCAGGGTGATCTTCTAGATCAAAGATGTCTGCAAATTCCAAAGAGATGGTGAATCCTTCCTCCAGTTCAATGCGGTATAGGCAGTCTGAGCTTTTGGGGTACGAATTGGGATAGTCTGGACTGCTGATCGTGCCTGATTTCTCAGTGAATACATTGTCACGACACTCAACTTGTGAGAAATGAAAAGAAACAGCAAGTCAACAAATCATTAACCAGGGACAAGACAAGAACTGCAGCTCATCATCAGCCAACAATTTGCTTAATTTCAAAGTTAAAAGTTGACAGGAAACTGAGATACGGGGTAAAAAGTGAGGATGGTGGTGACAACCCCCAGAAGGGAACAGCTAGTGGGTGGTATGTTCAGACATGAGGCAGATACAAGCTAACACAGAAAAGTGGAGCAATACACTGAGATAAAAACAATGAACAATGTGAAGTAAAATGCTACATTGTCAATCATTGGCTAGATCACATTGTATTCAATCTGGGCACACTGCACTTATAGGAAAGAAAAATTGTCCAGTGAGTTGTTGTGATCTAGAACCTGCTGCCTGAATGGGCAGTGAAAACAGATTTAGTTGTAATTTTGAAGAGGAAATTAGTTATGTTAATGAAGGAGAACAAGTTGGAGAGCCCAGTGAACAGAGTAGGACTGCAGGATTAGCTGGAAAATGTGATAAATGAGCCAACAATGGCACAATACGCCCAATGGCATAGTTATTTCAATCCAATAATAGTGATAATACACAGACTAGAGTATGAAATGAGTGCACACTGTCAGTCTGAGTGTGGTATAAAAACGGCCAAATACACAATTCATGAACAGGAATTTGGTCACGCAGCCTCTTGAGCCTGCTCTTGCCATTCTGTAAGATTATGACTGTTCTTATTACTCATTCCTGCCCATCTCTGATTGCCTCTCACCTCTCACCTCTCTGCTTAATAGGAATGTATCTAACTCTGACTTAAAAATATTCAAGGACTTTGGTTCTACCACCTTTTCAGGGAGAGTTCCAAACCATCATGGGCACATTATGAGTAAAAAAAATGTGATTTTTGAACAGTGATCCTAGTTCTAGATTCTCCCACACGTGAAAACAACCTCTCCATATCCACTTAATTAAGATTCCTCAGGAACTTACATATTTAAATCAGCTTGTCTTTTACTCTTCTAAACTCCAGTCGATACAATCCTATCCTGTCCAACCTTTCCCTGTCTGAGCTGCTTCCAGTACTGTGCCCAGTATTCCAGATGGAGTCTCACCAGTAACCTGTATAACTGAAACATAACCTCCCTACTTCTGTATTCAATTCCGCTCACAATCAATAACATTCAAGGACATTTCCACAGATGAGAAACTTCAGTTGAGCTTAGATAGACGAAGTTGGGACTGTTCTCTTTGGAGAGAAGGAGGCTAAGAGGAGATCACAGGGAAGTTTTCAAAATCATGAGTGGGATGGATAGTGGATTGGGAGAAACTGTTCTCACTCCTAAAAGGAACAAGAATAAATAGGTATAGATTTTGTATAATTTGTAAAAGGAGAAAATGTGATCTGAGAAAAACGTTTTTTACTCAGTGAATAGCGTCTGGAATGTACCATGTGGAAATGTCGTGGAAGCAAGTGAAATTGAGACATTCAAGAGGACATTGGATGATTATTTGGACAGAAATAGTGTGCAAGGATATGGGGAGAAAACAAGAGATTGGGGCTAGGTAATGATGGTTGTGTGAAGATCCAGTGCAGGTACAATGGGCCAAATGTCTTCTTTCTGTCCTGTAATACTATTGGGATTCAGTATTTCTATTAGCTTTCCTAATTACTTGTTGCACCTTCAGATTAGCCTTTGTGATTAATGTATAAAGACACCCAGATCAATTTGCATTTCAGAGCTCTGCAATCTCTTCCCATTTAGATAACATATTTCAATCTTTCTTCTTACCAAAATGGGCCATTTCACATCTTTTGACATCGTACTCAATTTTCCAGTTTGCCAGGTCTTTGCCTGATCATTTAACCTATCAATATATTTTTGCAGCCTCATTATTTCTTCTGCACTCTGCAACCCCATCTTCTACCTTGCATCCAAGTCATTGATATAAATTGTAAAGATTGACATTGCAGCACCAGTCTATGCAGTACACCAAGGTGCAGGGCTGGATGAACACAGCAGGCCAAGCAGCATCATAGGAGCAGAGAGGCTGACGTTTCGGGCCTAGACCCTTCATCAGAAAAGGGGGAGGGGAAGGGGGTTTTGAAATAAATAGGGAGAGAGTGGGAGGCGGATAGAAGAGGGATAGAGGAGAGGATAGGTGGAGAGGAAACAAACAGGTCGAAGAGGCGGGGATGGAGCCAGTAAAGGTGAGTGTAGGTAGGGAGTTAGGAAGGGGATAGGTCAGTCCAGGGAGGACGGACAGGTCAAGGGGGCGGGATGAGGTTGGTCGGTAGGAGATGGAGGTGCGGCTTGAGGTGGGAGGAGGGGATAGGTGGGAGGAAGAACAGGTTAGGGAGGCAGGGACGAGTTGGACTGGTTTTGGGATGCGGTGGGGG